TACCAAAAAAGTCATGCAATAAATAATATAACACTTTGAGGTTTATAATTAGTAATAATAAATCAAAGTGTGAACTGGAAGCTTGTTTTTATCTTTATATTGGTCATGACAACTTTCTGCATGTGTTCCTGACCTTTTCATCAAGGACACGTTCTTATCACTCCCCCACCTGTGTCATCAGTTCCTCACCACCTCAACCAGAAAAATTAATTTCTTTCAGACATGAAAGGGATTTTATCATAATGCTGGGAATCACTCATTTGACATATAATAGCAGGAAGATAAAAGCTTTTGATATTTGAGAGAATCACCCAACTCAAGAAATGGATTTTAAGATTTAGAAAACCCAAAGGTGAAAAAAAATTTCACATCAGAATTTCATTTCTGATATGGGATTCAAGTGTCATATCTTACTGTTGAATCCCAGCATAAAACTAATATAGAAGGTATCGGTACATTTTTTAGTACAAATCGCAAAATTAATCTGCAAAAGATTATCTCATCAGGAGACAAATAAAAGTCTCTCTAGTACATTTGATGGTGAAGCTGTTGGTAGGTGTTGAAATGTGACCATTTTGATGAGGTCCACTTTGAAAAGGAGGCATAAATGGCGATGTTTGAGAGGCATTGAAAATTATGCTGTACAGATTAGACATATTGGAAGACATAGTAACCAAGGCAAATATCTCACCACTGAATTGAAATGTCTTCTTCACTTCTGACAATATTGGGTAGATCAACCACTGCTACAAGTGAGATGGGAGTCAAATAATGAACACTCAATAATAATGGTGGACAAGAAGTGCAGATCTAGAGATACATACCTAGTTTGGAAAGAGAAGCTAAAATGAAAAGGAAAATAAAGTCTTTCACACCATTAAGGATCATCAAAACACAGTGGGTGAGATTTAAAGATCACTAATCCACCGAGCAAAAGAACATGCACAAGGCCCTACTTTATATTAGCTTCATGAAAACCAGATTCTCCTAGTTAGCTTTAAGTTTATTTCGTAGAAGGTAGGTAAATCAGATTTATTATAGATAGCTTTAAGTTTATTTCGTAGAAGGTAGGTAAATCAGATTTATTATAGATAAGTATGTAAATATACCAAGTGCAGATCTCTCTTACTCGATGTGGTTTCATTTATGGAAAAGGGATGGATTTAAATACAGTAAAGTATGGTCCTTCTAGCGTTATGTACCGCAAGAGCAACATTCAGTGCTTGTCTATTCGTTTTATAGTATAAGATTTCCTAATTCAACTCATAGTAATGTCCTGTGCTTAAACTAAGTAGAAAAACCGTCTTTCACATGCAAAGATAAAAAAGCAATTGATGAGTATTGATATGTTAGGTTTGACACTGAGATAGTGATATTCAATCCTCAGCATTTAATGAGATTTAACAGTACCAGCTCATTGACAAAGTTCAAGACCTTAACACACTGAAATCAAAGTCGTCCAGGATCGACTACTCGCAATTCATGTCATGTCGCATTTATATTTCTTTCACCCATTAAAATTGCTTGGCCAACCTGCCATTTCTAATTCTGCATCTTGTTAAAGAGCATAAATCTGACGCACCTACAGATTAGACACCCTATAAATGTTTGAGATGTGATCCTACAATACAAATAGCCAATACATATCAATCATAAACCTAACTACTCGTATTCTGTAACTTCTTTTTTGTTGTAACCCCTTCTGGAAGCTTGATACAGATGGCTGTAAATATTCTAAGACAGTGATTCCTCCAAATCAATGATCAACTGTAATTTTCAACTCTGTATTCTCCCGAGTCTAAGTTTACATGAGAGAAATATCAACTGAAAACAAAAAAAATCTGCTGAGAATCCTAAGAGCATGGATGGCGCCAAGAACCAATAATCAATAGATTGATCAATGGCATCTTTTCTGTGAGAAAGAAGTGGGGAGAAAAATTCCACTGGGATAACAAACAAGAGAGAGATGCATGAACGGTACAATGCATGCAGACTACAGTTATCAAGAATGGTCTGTTTTTGTAGGCAAAGTGTAGCAGCACATGGATTTGTGGTGGCCATTTGCGACCCACTATAGATTACTAGGATTCCCCACTTGGGAATAGTTACGTGTTGAACTATAGTGACTGAGGGAGATTATCAAGATCACAGAACAAGAGATATCATTGCTTGGACATAATGATGAGAAAAAGAAAAGGTCCTTCGAAAAATGAGACTAGATGGCGCAACACTGCCACCCAATGTGCCTGAAAAGTGATTGAGGTATCTGAATATATTATGATAGCTTTAACATGTGGAACAAAATAGAGCTTGCCATGTCATTTCCAGAGCACAATAAGTCTGTGGCAAGAGTATGAAACATCAACACTTGGAAGACGTAGCATGTCATGTTAAACATTTAAGGGAGTGTTTGGATAGAAACCAAACCATGGTTTCAGAAGTGCTTTTACGGATTACGAAGTAAATATGTGGAGGAGGTTACCTCGTTTTGCGGAAAAGTGCTTCTGAAACCATGGTTTTAGAGTACCCAAACAGGCCCTAAATATAATACAATATAATGCTTCTAATTGCACTAGATTATTACACTTATGATGTTGATTTTTATGTTGTGTCTTATATTCGTGCTTCTTAGATGTCGCATGTTGATTGATGAGCTGATAAGCCTATAAAGAATGAATCTTCACAGGAATACTTCGAAGAACAGTACATGACTCTGAGCCTGGGTGGAAACCAGGAAATTGGGAGCTTTCGTTGAAGATCAAGTAAAGCAGAGAACAATTATAATGCTCTAACTACTGTTTATACACGGGGGAAAAATTATTACGCTCCACTCTCATTTAAGTGTCCAAATCAAACCAAAAGTTAAGCAACCATTTCAATATGGGACTATAGGAGAGTTGAATCTAGCAGCTGCTAGTGCTTGTATATAGTTCTCGAAGATTTGGTATAATGAGATAATGGAGTAGACAATATCATGTGTCCCCACGATGGAAAATAATTTCTGAATGTATAGAAATAGCAGACTACGATTATAAGGAACTGTAGAAATTACATTTTTCTAACCAATTGACGCCATTCAGTTGAAAGTTTAAACTGCTTCTCGTAATGAAAAATCACTTTAAGTCCATTTCGAAGAACCTACCCACTTCTAAATTTTTTTCAATGATGTAAACTTTTTTTTGAAGCAGAAATTTCCCCCCAATCCAGCCGTTCCCCGTCCACATATAAATAAGGAAAGGGAAACAAACACCCACACACACGCCCAGCACATTACCCCCCTTGATATTAGAACCCACAATCTCCCATGGTGTGGTTTGCCAATAGCGCCATAGCTTTTGGAGATAGAAAAAACAGTTGCAATCTACATCTCTCGTAGATAGAAAGGTAGATTTCCAATATAAGCGAACGAAAAAAAATTCGTGTTTATGAATCAATGTAGACAATATCATGTGTCCCCACGATGGAAAATAATTTCTGAATGTATAGAAATAGCAGACTACGATTATAAGGAACTGTAGAAATTACATTTTTCTAACCAATTGACGCCATTCAGTTGAAAGTTTAAACTGCTTCTCGTAATGAAAAATCACTTTAAGTCCATTTCGAAGAACCTACCCACTTCTAAATTTTTTTCAATGATGTAAACTTTTTTTTTAAGCAGAGAAATTTCCCCCCAATCCAGCCGTTCCCCGTCCACATATAAATAAGGAAAGGGAAACAAACACCCACACACACGCCCAGCACATTACCCCCCTTGATATTAGAACCCACAATCTCCCATGGTGTGGTTTGCCAATAGCGCCATAGGCTTTTGGAGATAGAAAAACAGTTGCAATCTACATCTCTCGTAGATAGAAAGGTAGATTTCCAATATAAGCGAACGAAAAAAAATTCGTGTTTATGAATGGATTCAGAATGCTAGTGATTGCTGTTACACATGGCAGCGGAGAAAACTAAATTAACCATATGATACGTTTCTTTTCAACTTAATTCTTCTAAAGACATAACTATAATGCTTACCTTCCCCCCCCCCCCCCCCAAAAGTACAATGCCTACACTTGTGATAGAATTGTGAAACGATTAATATAATTATCAGTCATGGCTTTTCTTCATCTATGGGGATTCTATTTCAGAATGACGTGCGTAATTAATGCACACTTTACAAATAGGTAGTAATTCAATGCTCTCGAAAAAGTTTGGTGCCACAAGGACACACTCATTTACCATGTAGGAGCCAAGATAGGCTTCTTCAAAGGAAACAATATTCATTACACCTATATGTGCGAGGTAAAAGAGTCCCATGATACATTACCAAAGACATAGTCAAATGGCAGACATTGTCCATAAGCAAGAAGCAGTTCATGGCATGAGACCGGCACCACAGGTCAAGCCGTTTGGATCCTCAGCTATCTCTTATTTTATTGAAGCAGAGAGAAGGAAACTTCATTGTCAAACACTCAACATTTTGCGTGAAACCCAGATAGTTGCAATCTTTTAATATTATAACCCTCCTTTGACAACTAGAAAGCCTCTAAATTCCCTCTTTTGCTAACCTGGTTTCCTGGGCCGTGGCAGCATATTAAGTGTTTGAATTTTCCAGATGAAGATAAGCTCTTCATTGACATCTTTCCATCATATGAGAGTTCTCGGGCATCAATGAAGTCTTCAAGTAAGCTGGCATTCACAATTTCAATTAAAAATGCAATTTCATGCATCATGTAGAACATGCAATCAGCTGGCAACATAAAAACTCTCAGTTGTTAAGGAACGTGGGCGCCATAAACTTGCTAGCCTCAGCTTCTTCAGTGGCACTCTTTCTGGCCTTCTCATTGAGACAAACTAAAGGTTGTGCCCTTTTACCAGCATCAACAAGGAAAACCAAGGGATATCTCTATTTACAATGCGTGAAATTCCATTTCTGAACAAACCTAACATGTCTTTCGAAGTCGGAAAAAAGGATGGATTAGTTCTTCTGAGATTTTAAATTGGGCGAGAACAAATAGAACCAAAGATGGAATTTTATATGAATCAATGACTCTGTTATGCTTGGGGGAAAATGTTAACATACACAGTTGTCTAATATAATGGCAGGAAGGGCATTAACCTCAAAGAAAACATGCAAAGACAAAGAAATGGCATTGAAGGACTCGGAAGCAAAAGCACTCAATAAAAGTGGCACTTGACCACCTATGAAAAAGATATCAATTTAAGAGCAGTCATTGAGGTGCGCACATGTGTAGGCATGACCACCACATCGTACATCAGATTCAGAAACTATTTGATGATATTCTGTCACAACATCAGGGGAGTAAACATTCTCTTCTAAATTTCCCCAACTCTGCATTGTCCCGTGACACAGCAGTTGGTTGGTTTTGACTGGAATTTTCATCTTTCCTCTTTCCATTATTTCTCAGGGGCAGGTTCAGAAGGAAAAGGGGTTTTCATGTGTTCCACAGCATATCAGAAATTCTGATTAACTGGTCAGGTGCAAAAAATGGATAGTATCTTCCAAGGCCCATTCATGTTTCATTGCACATTGGGCAGGCAAGATGGTTTAATTTCACTGTAGCAAGAGGAAATAGTCAATTAAGTAATTCCTATCAAGACAATTTTGATAAACATTTAAGACTACCGAATATAATACATAAATAGGCACATATACCCCAAAACAAACAGATATATAAGAGCCTTGTTTAAAGATGTCTAAAGGTTGTTACCTAATGTATGAAAAGCATCTGTGCCAGGGCAATTGTAAATGGAAAAGAAACGTCAAGCATAATGAGTTTTTGCCATGAGAAACAAATTACATTCAATTTGAGATCCTCGTTTCCTTACGAGAAACTAGCTGCATTCAATTTTTTAGGCAATGGTGTCCTACCTATTTCTTCTAATGCCAATAGTAGTATCTTCGATTGACTCACCCAACATATTGCGCCTCTTCTTTATATTAGCTACTCCATGGGAAGCTCACATTAAGAAAGATTATTACCTAGAACATCAGTGGAGTACTGATGACCTTCTGACCAGATTTTCCAAATCCTAGACCACAAAATCCCGAATGTCCTCGTTCTATGAAAGCTGTTTGGCTAGCTGTCCATTAATCTTTTTCTTCCAGTTTTATTTAAAGTAAGTCTACCATACAGACTGTTGAATTCTATGATAAGTATCCAATCTTTCAAACAACTAGTGTATGGAAAAGAAGAAAATATATCCAATAAAAGGCATGCAGGTCTAGTGGTCAAAACTCAGTATGAAGGACAAGTTCACTTCAGAAAGGCATTCAGACATAAAAATAATTTATGCCTACCTCCTAATTGTGTGCTTCTGTAATAATTAGTTATTTTATAGAACACAGCACTGGGTTCCCTTCCCATAGTAGTCATTCAGAGTGTCCTACCTATTTCTTCTAAGTAGTATCTTCGATTGACTCACCCAACATATTGCGCCTCTTCTTTATATTAGCTACTCCATGGGAAGCTCACATTAAGAAAGATTATTACCTAGAACATCAGTGGAGTACTGATGACCTTCTGACCAGATTTTCCAAATCCTAGACCACAAAATCCCGAATGTCCTCGTTCTATGAAAGCTGTTTGGCTAGCTGTCCATTAATCTTTTTCTTCCAGTTTTATTTAAAGTAAGTCTACCATACAGACTGTTGAATTCTATGATAAGTATCCAATCTTTCAAACAACTAGTGTATGGAAAAGAAGAAAATATATCCAATAAAAGGCAGGTCTAGTGGTCAAAACTCAGTATGAAGGACAAGTTCACTTCAGAAAGGCATTCAGACATAAAAATAATTTATGCCTACCTCCTAATTGTGTGCTTCTGTAATTAGTATATTTTATAGAACACAGCACTGGGTTCCCTTCCCATAGTAGTCATTCAGATAAATTTGGATGTTCCAAGTATAGCTGCAGACATAGAGGTTCGCTACTCATTGACTTGATAGGGGTTATAAGCGGAGGCTGATGCCACTGCTTTGTGTCAGTTGGGATCCATAACTCAGCTTCCTTGCTCATACTAGGGTCAGGAACGGATCGAAAGTAAGCAGTTATCTCCCACTTGCAATCTGTTTAGAGAGGGAAAAGAAAGAGTCAAGATTGTTACAGTTGCCAAACAAATTTAAAATATGCTTGAACAATGCAGCAATGTACAAAGTACCAAGCCATTTGGCTTAAATATAGCATCCTCAAGAGCTGCATGGAGAATGGATAACGATGGGAATTTATAATTTTTAAGTGCGTATAAGTGAGGGGGGATGATGGCAGAATTCATAAGGGAGGGGGAATATAGAGGGATAAGAGAAAGGTTATGGCATAAAGGGAACTGGATGAAGTCAAAAAGAAAAATGTACTGAATGATTAAACTTGCATTCACCCGGGGGAAGATCCTTTGTAAGAGATTCTGAGACTGAGAGCTTTATCAGGAAGGATCTCAGAGAGAGCTCCAGGTCGGCCTCATCCACGTTTGAGCCGTAAGATTGGTTCACTGCAAGCTTAAATACAAATTTTTCCAGTGGAACATCATCAGCTTTGTAGAATATAACCGCTACTCTCTCCACCATTCCCTAGCAAAAGTGGGTAAGGGTAGGTTTGTTAGAAGCAAACAAGTGTTTCCATGCAGGATGGTTAATCTTGAGCCGGCTTTTGAATTATTTCATTTACTGTCTGCAAATGTATTAGCCTACATCATGTTCATCTATCTCCGTAAACGAGGTTTATATCTTCTGGGCAGTCTAACTTAAATTTTCCAGGAAAAGTTGTAGTTACTTTACGGTTCAAATTGTAGCTATGTTTCCAGTGACATATGAGAAATCTTGTACTCCGCTGGTCCTATTTATAGGGCAGAGAGAGAAGGTATTTTTTGGTCTTATTTATAGGGCACTGAGAGAAATTTTTTGTATGGATGTATAATTTTACCCATCATTTATTATTGTGTTGACTTTTTTTATATGAAGTATAATGTATATTAAATAGGGATAAAGTTGAAAAATTATCAAATTTTAAACGAGAGTTAACAAGTTTAAGGTTTTTCTTAGTCTGTGTGAAATATACTGAAGTGCCTTATAAATAAGAGTAGAGGAATATAACACAACATATTGTCTACACAAAGTATAATGGTAAGTTTCCATAGCATCAAGAAACTGGAACCTAGTACATGTATATGCAAATATTTACTTTTGCATTATATTATGATAACTTCAATGACATGAGCAAAGTAGATGCTTTGATTGAATATATGCTTTAATTTTGCATTTGAAAGTTCAATATCGAAGGGTGACAAAACCCGTGATCAAAACCGAGTAGGAGGTACAAGATATATATTACTTTTTAAACAAATTGAATTCTAATGGACATTAAAGCGACCCCAGCAATTGGTATATTGGCAACAATTATTCTTCATTGTACTACTTACACTAGATTGAGAATGCCAAATTATTGAGGACGAGCTTTACCTGCTGTAAAAAGGGAAGAAGTCCTGAAACAGCAGCATGTATATAATACCTGAGCTGAGGATGGCGAGCCTTCTGAACCACCACATTCATATACCGCGTCCTCTCAAAAGCACCTTTTTTCCACACCCAAAATCAGCAAACTTTTTTGTTTTTTTAACAAAAACCTCTGGACAAAAAAAGGGAAGAAGAAGAAAGCCAAGGAAAGGAGGAAAAAAAAGAGAGCTAAAAAACAATTAGAGGATATGCAAGAATCCACCAGAAGGATAAACCCCTTTGAGAAAAACCACAGCCGTAATGGCCACTTCTAAAAATTCAACCAAAACTCTGGCAGTTCGGCCTGCGAATTTTGAAGGAATCATGAGAACCCGAAAACAATTTTTCAAATAAAAAAAATTAAAATTTATTGGTCAATTTTAAACCTTGTGGAGATTGATTCTCTTTGCGATCCATCATCTGCATTCACAAATTCTGGGAAGCGTGCGCATTTACAACTCCCTCTAATTTAAAGTCATCTGGTGAAGGAGGGGTAGCGACTTGCGAGACCGACTTCGTTGCGTTTGGTTCTCTGCAGCATTTTTATCTTGTAATGTTTAGAGCCTTCAAAATGGGTCAAGCCTATCGGGCAGTCTTTTTAACCTTTTTAAGCGAAGCACTGGACTTGTATTTTAAGTGATTTAAAAAGAAATTGGATCTTGATAGCGTTTTCAAACCCGTTTATTTTTTTATTATTATTATCAATATATTTATAAAGTTATAGATTAGTCTTTTATAAATAAGTTTAAATTAAAAAAACACTTAGAAGAATCAATATTCAAGTTAGATAATTGAAAAGAATTAAATGTCTTGGGCTTGTGGAAGAACAATTAAAATCAATTTTCAATTCTTTCAAGAATGGTAGCTGATATTCTTAACATATTAATCATCATAATAGTTAGTAGATCTTCATTTACCATCGATTTACATATCTTAACAAAGTGTAAAACTTTTCTTATTTGAACAAATATTCAGGCTCTTATTTGTACTTATAACTACTGCATAGTTTTATTTTAGATAAGATAAATGAAAACAAAAATCTTAATATTTTTATACTAAAGAAGAGCTCACTTGTAGTAAAGAACAATCAAATATTACTGATCTTGATGATACTGATGAAAATGAAAATAAAAATAATAATGATATTGATATTGTTAATCTTTAACTACTAGGTTTTTTATCTTCCCATTTTTCGTGTTTTGTTAGATTTTAATTTTTTTTATTTTGGATAATAGTTTATTGACATTTAATTTTTTTTTATACACCACTAATTTATTTTAGTTATATTTATAATTTGAATAAAAAATCTTAGAAGTTTTGTTATTTTATTTTTTATTTTAAAATAATTAAAAAGAATTTAAATTTTAAAAAATAATATAAAAAGGCAAGTCTTTTTAAGCCTTGAACTTTTATGTTTAAGAGTCAGACTTTAATAATTAGATAATTTTAAAATATGTGGGTTTTAAAGAGCTGGTTTTTTTAAGTCCTGGCCCTTCAATCCGGCTAGCGCTTATTGACAGATTTAGACCACTGCTACATTGAGACGCTGTCGCATTTAGGCGTTCATCTTAACCGTTCTTTCCACAACATAATCCTGTCCGTCCATTGCTTTGACTCCATTGTCTTCCGAGTTCCGAATCCAGACCTGTATTTCCTGACATGCACAGAGCCGGGCAACAGAGAAGAAGCTGGGAAGCTTGAGCTATTGTCGTCCTTTTTTTAACACTCGCGTGGTTTTGTTCGCTCACTAGCCAAGTGATCACGACTGCAGCAATCTACCAGAGAAGGAAGAATTTGATTTCACTGGTCGATAGCATGACTGGTATTTTTTCTTCCTAACCTTATTTCTCCAGGAAAATCGATTCGAACTATTTGCTTTTCTCCTTGTTTTTATGAAATGAATTGGGAATGAGGAATTTTGCTGAATGGATTTAGTCTGTGCTGGGAAATTTCATTGTGATCAAAGGAAAAAGCAAAGAAGAGAAGGGAAGAAGAGGGAGGGCATGTGTTGTAGTTTTAGGCGACGTAGGCCGCAGTCCTCGAATGCAGTACCACGCTCTTTCGCTCGCCAATCAGGTATTTTATCCGTTGCTGCAAATCTACAAAGGATGTAATTTACTTTGTCTTTAGGACCCCAGTCTGAGTTGGGTCTAATTTTGCGAGCTTTTGGATCACAGCAAACGTTGTTCAGTTAATCAGAAATTTCAGAACTTCTATAATCGAATGAGAATTAATCATGCTATCGATTATTGTATGTTGAAATTCGCCATTCAAATTGCCTTTTATAATCTAAAGTTCCTAGGCACAGTTGCTCTGGTGATGTAGACGGCATTATGAATATGTTATCTCCTCTTAAAATTGGATTCCCTTAGTTTTATCTTGTAGTCCCCAAGTTACTTGTACATTTTTGTGACTCAGCTGATTGTATTTCTATTCGCTTTGGGATGCCCTTGATGTAGCCTTTAATCGGTCTTGTATACTAATGCAACCATTGTGGTTAGTGGTTTTTTATTTCTGGCAGCTTAATTCTGTGCACTTTACCTTTAGTTTTAATGAAACATGCAATATGGGTTGCTCAATAAATATTTTTAAATTAGTTCAATTGATTGATCTACTGGTTTGTTATATATCGTTGCAGGCTTGCCTGGAGGTAGACATTCTCGCATATGGAGGTACTTTTATCAGAACAATTTTTCATGATAAATTGTTTGAGTTAGTTTTCACTACTATCGTAATTCATGGAGCTGATATGAAATTTGAGTTACTGTTGTCTCAAGTGAATTTCCTAATTTATTACTTCTTTCTTTAACAGGTTCGGAGCCTCATAATGCTATTCTTGACAACAAAAATATTCATATTTACCGAATGGTATGGATGTGGACCAATATTTTCCAGACAAGTTATCCTCTCACCGTCACTTTAAGTTAATGTATTGTGCCTTCTCTTTCAGAAACAGTGGCCGACATCCCGTCAAAGCTTACCAAAGATACTTCAGCCCATAATTCTTTTGTTGAAGCCATTGGTTCAATTTTGTATGCTTCTTTGGTTTCTTTGCATAAAGATACCTAGGCCTGATATCTTTATAGTCCAGGTTAGCCTTCTTTGTAATACTGTTGTTTTCTAAGAAAATCTTAACTTGATGATTCTTGTGATTTATTTGATAGACTATTTAGCTTTTAATATACAAGTCAGACTTGCTGTTGTCTTCTTCTCCTACGAAAACCTAATGTTTATTCTCACCTGTGGTCATAGTTTGAGGACCACTGATTCCAAAGGCAAAGTTAATTAAATTACCTTTCCAAAGAAGTTTATGGTAGAACGATGTTGGTTATTTTACAAGGAGCTCATATCGTTTAAGAGCAGTGGCACATTAAAAGCAGCAGAACTTATATTGCATATATGATGTAAATTACTCAGCTCTGGTCCTAAATATAGGAGCTAGGTGGGGTACTTGCTTTGAACTTGAAGCAATTCTTATGTTTAGATTCTTGAGGTTGCCACGTCACCTCACTGCAGCCCTGTGTAACAGGACTGGTTTGGCTGGTTCATTCAACTTATTGGTTCTAATGGTCCTCTGGCAGTTTAGACCAATCCAGTTTTGGATATTGAAGCAGACTGGTTAGCGATTGAGCTGACCAAACTGAATGGTGAAATACAGTACCAAGAACAATGATTTTAGTCAAAAGATACTCAAGCAGGTTTCCGACTAAAATGGGGATAACAAGAGATCTCTTAGATCCTTGCTGTGTTGAGTTTTCCTATAGTAATACTAGTCTTACACTTGATCTCATATTTTACTGGATCTTATCATATTCATCAATATGTATGTGCAGAATTCTATTATCGTACTGTATTGGTTTTTAACAGGTCTTTCTTGCTTCCTTTTTTCGCTCATTCTCTGTGTACAGAATCCTCCTTCAGTTCCCACGCTGGTAGCTGTTAAATGGGCTAGCTGGTTGAGGCATTCATCATTTGTCATTGATTGGCATAATTTTGGATATACACTGCTTGGCTTATCCCTTGGAAGGAGTAGTCATTTTGTCTCTGCATACAAGTGGTAGTAATCTAACCTTCAGTTTTTTTTTTTTTTTTGGATACAATCTAACCTTCAGTTTTACCTATGCTGACATCAGTTTGTCCTTTTGGTGGGTATTGACATTGCGTTTTTAGAACAGCTGCTAATGCAATTCTTTTTCTTGGGTCTGTGTAGGTTTGAGAAGCATTATGGGAAAATGGCAGATGCTTCTCTATGCGTAACAAGAGCAATGCAGCATGAATTGGACCAAAACTGGGGAATTAAGTAAGGGAGTGAGCTCAAAATTGAGAGATAGCTTATGTAATATAGAATTATTGCGACAAACAATTAATTTAATGTTTACAATTACTTTATAGAGCCACGGTTCTGTATGATCAGCCTCCTGACTTTTTTCATCCTGCATCACTTGAGGAGAGGCATAAGGTGATTTAGCCACTGTGTTGTCTAGTTTTTGGTTGTTCTTACTCATTAAGCAATCTTGATTATTCCAATAAATAATGTTGGTAGCTTCTAGTTGTTTTGTAGATTAAATAAAGATCTCTGTCAGCCTCTTGGCATTCGAGATTGCATTAGTAATGGTACGATAATTCTTGCAATTGTTAAATATATGTATCTTTTTATTAGCATCTTGTTTATTTAAGATTTTGCTTCCTACAGGAACTGCATCTGTGGATAACCGTTGGCAAAATGAGACTCTATTTACAACTGAAGTTGGTTCAAGCATATATTTGAAGCCAAACCGGCCTGCACTTGTTGTAAGCAGTACGAGCTGGTAAGCTTCTTCTATCACAAATTGCATTCATCTGAAACATGAAAAGGTAGTTTGCATGTTTTCATTATCTGCTTTTAGGACCCCGGATGAAGATTTTGGTATTCTCCTAGAAGCTGCAGTTATGTATGATAGACGTGTTGCTGCTATATTAAATGAAGATGATTCAATTGATGAGGAGATCATCTGGAAAGATATATCCAACGCAAAGCAATGTTTATATCCGAGATTGTTATTCATCATTACTGGTACACTTGTTCCTTCCCTTCTGAAGTGTTTCCTTTCGCTTGGAACTTACTAACAAGGATTCTAAATGATAAAGGTAAAGGTCCAGAAAAAGAAAAATATGAAGAGAAAATAAAGAAGTTACATCTTAAACGTGTGGCATTTCGTACCATGTGGCTGTCAGCTGAAGATTATCCACTGCTGCTGGGTATATTGTTTTCCCCGAATTATTTGAAGGCCTTACATTTCGTGAACGATGTGACATCCACATGTTTGGGTAATTTCAGGATCATCTGATTTGGGTGTTTGCCTACATACTTCATCATCAGGACTAGACCTTCCTATGAAGGTATCTATTGTTGCATGCCAATAGACAAAGAAATATGCATTTTTAGAAAATTATTATTTTCTGTTTCATGGTTATTTTGGTACCTTTCTTATGTAAAGTCTTTACTAGCATTGTTCTGAGAATCAGACCGGACCAGTGGGTTCGACTAGTTGAATTAGGAAACTGGTCCTGCATCCGGTCAGGAGATGAGGGAGAACTCAGCAAGAACCAGTTGAACCAGCCACATTTAAAAAAAAATAATAATTAATGTTTTTAAGTTATAATTTATGCATTTGGGCACCTGATAAGCATTGGAAAATAGAAAATAATGGACAAAGAGGCAACTAAAAAATATTCTACAATTACAAATTATGCTGGCTGATTTAGTTCTTTTCTGCACTGTTTTAGACTGTTCATATTTCCCTGTATACGGCTATTTAGCTTTTGCTTTGAAAAAAGATAACATTACAAGAAAGGAAGAATAAAAACAATGAAACAGCTATCACTGCTTCTGATAAGGGGAAGAGTTGGAGTCGAAGGCTTGCTTGAGTTTTATATGGCTTTCTAAAGAATATATGCTAGCCATTCCTCTTCATCTCATATCTTAAACTTTGCATGCGACATTTGGGCCCTTCAACCTCAAATTTTCCTAGGATGAAATATCATGGGTAATGTTGATTTATGATTTTGTTTCTTAGCAAACGTCTAATAAATCACTAAAACTCAAGTTCGATTTCTCAGTTTCCCCGACAAATTAGTTTTAATTTTTTAATCAGGGCACGCAACTATATGTCATTTGTGGTAATACATTAAGAGCTAGATGTTGAAAATTTAAGCCGTTATTCTTTTTATTTCTAAAGGTGCTTTTTCTTCTTGTTTCTATTCTCTTTATTTCTAAATCGTTCTGCTATGGCTGTACTAGGTTGTTGATATGTTTGGTTGTGGATTGCCTGTTTGTGCTGTTTCATACTCTTGGTACGTGATGTCTTTCTTTCCAAAAATAAAAAACTCGTGGTATACTTGTGTTTCCTTTTCTATTCAAACATATTCTTTGTATTTACCGGTCAACATTTTTTTCCGTTTCAGCATTGAAGAACTCGTTAGAGTAGACAAAAACGGGCTTCTCTTCTCTTCATCTTCAGAGTTAGCTGACGAACTCCTGGTAAGTTTTTGAGTGATTTATTTTCATATCATTACCTGCTGAATTGTGTGGAAACTCCTCTAGCTTGACGAGATCTTTTTAGTGGACTTTTTTTTTTTTTTTTTGGGTGGGAAAAAGTAATATACAAGTTTTAAGGGTTTCTTATTTGCAAACACTTAGCATGAAATAATTTCTTGGGTTTGATATGCTCTACTATGTGTTGTCTGTAAAATATTTTCTTTCTCAAACTGAAGTGTCACAAGAAATAATATCTGGTTATCTGGAGGTCCAAATAAGAGCGTTTTTAGAACCTATTTTTTTTTAGAATAGAACACAATCAAATAGACAAATACCCTTGGAATGTGGTGACATCCCCCAATCTTGATGGTAATCTCATTAGTTACTTGATTTAATCATTTTGTGCTTGGAGCTGGTAATATGGGCCAACCCATCGGTTATGGGTTGGCCTGCGGCAGGCCTGAAGCTTGGCGGGTTGGGCTTTTTAGGACTGCTTTCTGGTGGGCTAGAATTTTTCCAACCCAGCCCGCCACCGCCAAATTTTGTTTTTTTTTAAACTTTTTTTTAAAAATAAAATTTACTCAAATTCCTAAATACCTAAAATAAAACATGCAAATAGAAATTATCATAAATAAAACATGGAATCCAAAGTTTCAAGTTTTAAGTTTCAAATATATCAAAATATTAAACATATGATCATGAACATGATACATCCTTAATAATTTAACAAACATCTCAAATTAAAAGGGGAGCTTGGGGCTTGGGATTGGGAGTCTGGGAGAACTTGGGACTGGGAGTCTGGGAGAACTACGAAACGCAAGCAAGAGGGGAGGTAGGATAGGAGGTTGATGACTTGAATCACTTGATGGCTGATGCCTGATGTGGCTGCGTTTTGACGGATTTTTCAAGCTGAAAATTTAAAAAAAAAAAGGAGAGAGAGAGTAGGCCATGGGGACTGGGGAGGCAGAACTGCAGAAGGCTTTGAATAGACTGCTACCGTGTTGGACTGCTAGTCTGGGCCGAGAGACTAGAGAGTAGAGACCAAGAGGCAAAGGAAATTTTTTTTTTTTTAAAAAAAGTTAAACGGCTGGCCCGCCAACCCTGTGGGTTAACCTGCCGCGGGTTTGGTCTTGGTAGTTATAGGCTCAAAACTTCCATTTTAAAACAGTCCCAATTTTTATCAACCCAAACCGCCGCTTGTTGGCGGGTTAAGCTCGCGGGCTCAATCCATATTACTGGCTCTAGTTGTGATCAAATTGCTTGGTACATGTGCTATCACGCGTTCGTTCTCTTATCATCCATCATTATGATCACCCTTTCGTAATTCTGTATTTGTGCCTAAGCATCTAGACACAGTGGTATTAGATCTTTAACTACCTTATTCATAAATGACTATTATTTACGCTTCTTTATGTGAATCCTAAACTTGTGGTTAAGTTGAACTGATTGATTCATAAGACATGCCTCCCTAAGTTCTCTGGTATTGCTGAATCTGCGCAGATGCTCTTCAAGGGATTTCCTGACCAATGTGATGCTTTAAAGGTCTTAAAAAATGGGGCATTAGAAATAGGTTCTTCAGCAAAGTGGACTACAGAATGGGAAGAACATGCAAAGCCATTGATAACCGAGGCAAGTTCCTCTGTTCTGTTCATCTTGTTCATAATCACAGTCACATCTGTGATTCAGAATGCAACCAAATTCTTTCTCGCCTGTGTTATTGCTGCTGCTTGGCATAATGTATTCCTGTGAATCTGATCAGAATATTTGAATTCTCAGGCTATATCAAAAGTTAGAGGTTAAGTGCAATCAGAAGTTACAGGTTCTCTTCTGCAACAAAATAGGAAGGGAGAAAGTAGCAGGGGCCCAAACATCTGCCTGTTGTTGACTGAGTATAACAGTTATAAAGGGATCTCCTTCAGTGGAAAAATTAAGCTTTCTGTTATTTTAGGGCTTTCATTTCGGAGACTATGTCAAGAACTGAAAAAGAGAAATTTAAAAATTTTGATTTAGGAATTTGTACATTTGAAGTTTATGCTTTAGCATTTGGAGTTCGAGGGTTGAGGCTTTTTGTTATTTATCTTTCTTTTCCCTTTTTCCTTTTTTTTTCCCTTTAATGAGAAGCAGTTATCGAGGAAAAACCAAACACTTTTTATACAACATAATGGATCATTTTGTTTGTGTGCTTCTGTATATCTAAATGTTAGGAGAAAATTTCCGTGCATGTATGAATTAACATATTTGTTATTTGTTTGGACTAATTGTAAGATTTTACAAAAGCTATAAAATATAAGGTAAATATGTATCGAAAAATTATGATAAACAGTTTCAAACAAATTGTACCCTCTGGTATTTTCAATGTTGAAGAATATATCAGTTAATCCCATTGATGGATTATGTAACAGTGATTATATCAATATTCCATGTCATGAAATCTAATAATTAATAATTTTATATTTAAAATTAAATCATTATAAATATACTTCCTCTAGTTCTTTTTATAGGTATTGAAGAGAATTTTTGCCCCTTTTATAAAGCACAATGTGAGATATCTTCTCATTTTTTTATCATATTGCTCTTCTTCAATGTTGGTTTTATGTTTTCTGCACTTGGGGTTTAATAAAAGTAAAGCTGGGACTTGTGTTTTCAAAGAATGGGTTCAGTAAAAGTTAAATTGAAATATTTGTTAATTTTCAAGAATAATTCATAAATTTTATTTTTTTTTAATTTCAATAAAAATATTGAAAGTGACAGTATATTGATATTTGACAAGATCCCAAAATTTGGCACAAAGAGTAATTATAATTATAAATTCTAACAAAAATCAAATTTCGGACGGGGGGAAGTTCCGCAACGAGGATAGTTGATTGTTTAAATCAAATTAAGATAGGTGAAAATTTTATACAACATTTATCTAATAATTAACTCGTCATTGACATTACATATTTATTATTAATTTAAAATTCATTTGTTCTGATTTAATTGGACTTCGTGAAGCCATTAAGAGTACAAGTTCTCTTTATTTTTTTCCCCCTTTTTGGCCAAAATACATTGGTTTAAACACCCAAGGTTTTATCCGTCCAGATCCAATTGCCTGATATCATATCGGTAAGTCGCTAACCGATAATGACCAAATTATAACTAATAATTTATGGTAAAATAAAAATTTGAAGGGATAAATCCTTACATATGTCATCATCTGAAACATAATAATTAAATCTTCATAGGGAGTGTTTGGGTAACTCCAAAAACACTTCTTAGAAGTATTTTTCCGCAAATCGAAACAAACTCCTTCATATATTTACTTTGTATACCGTAAAAACACTTTTAAAACCATAGTTTTGTTTCTACCCAAACACCCTCATAATCATACTGCTTAACAAATTTTTTGGCCAATTTATAGAAAGAGAATAATATTTATAAATATAATATATAACAAGAGACATAACAAGATCTTATACTTACAGCGTAATGCCCTGCTTTAAAAACAATAATAGTACTCCTCACAACTGGATAAGCATTAAACAACGAAGACAACGGGCAGAAAATAAACGGAGCGAACAAAGCACGATTAGTAGAACGTCTTGTAACGAAAAATCCACATAATGTAAATAAGGAGATGTCAAAGAACACATCACTGAAATTATAATTAAGCTACAGTATAAACGGGAATTTGTCCAGTCGGATGTACCATGACAATTACTCAAGAATACGATAAACTTACCATAAAATACACTGAAACAAAACTCGAGATACTCAGCTCTAAAAACGATAACAAGTCTGCAATGCAAAATGCGAAAATAAATCAGAATGGATGGGAAGAATGTTTATAGCTTGTCTTCGTACTCAGAAAGTGGAGTCATCTGCTCCTTCAATCCCTTCCTCTTGCGAATGTCAGCAATAAGCTGTGCAGCTTGTGACCCGGCCTCCATTGGATCTGACGACATCATGTCCCAGTGATCGAACACACACTGAGGGAAAGCCTGACCTGATGTTGCAGCTCTCAAAGTGCTTGAGAACCCAAATGACTCGATGACAGGGAGGTATGCCTTGATGTTGTACAGGGGTGTACCGGGCCTCTGCATCTCCTCAAACACGTGTCCACGCTTCTGATTCAGAACACTGTAGATGCCACCAAGAGCCTGCTCGGGAGCCTGGATTTCCACAAGGTAAACTGGTTCCATAAGTCTGGGTTTAGCAGTCAGCTGGGAAGCGTAGAACACTCTCCTTGCCGTGGGAATAATCTGACCACCACCTCTGTGGATGGCATCAGCGTGAAGAACAACATCGCACACCTCAAAGCAGATGCCCCTCATGTTCTCTTCAGCCAATGCGCCTTCCTTTGATGCCCACTGGAACCCAGCAACCACTGAATCCTTGATTTCATTCAGATACTGCACTCCCTTGCACATATCCACCACCATGTTTGGTCCAAGCGTCTCGGGCCCAAAACACCAGATTTTCTTGGCCAGATCCTTGTCCCAACCATACTCTTCTGACAAGATTCTGGAACGAGCTTTGGGGTCATCCCTTGGACCGATCTTGCCATCATCAATTGCCTCGGCAAGTCCTTCCTCCAGGGGTCTCGCCTCCATGTACAGACGGTTGTGCTTGTTGGGCGACTTGCTCATCACAGTGCGGCAAGATCTCTCCAGCACAGTCTCACGGAAGGACACAACAGGGTCAGATTTAATGATCTCAGCTCCGCCCATGAAGTCTTCCTGCAAGTCCTTCAAACAGATCTCAAGGTGAAGTTCACCAGCACCAGCAACAATGTGCTCCCCAGACTCCTCAATCGAACAAACAACCATAGGATCTGACTTAGCCAGCCGCTTCAGACCCTCAACAAGCTTGGGAAGATCTGAAGCGACCTTGCACTGAACAGCAACACGCACCACGGGAGACACAGAAAACTTCATAGCTCTGATTGGGTGGGCATCCACTTCCTTCTCATTCGTTAAAGTGGCATTCTTGGTGATAAATTGATCCAAACCAACCATGGCAACAGTGTTACCGCATGGCACATCCTCAACAGTTTCCTGCCTCTTTCCCATCCAGATAACAGTCCTCTGCACGCTCTTCACATACAAGTCCTTCTTCTCTCCAGGCACATAATTGGGTCCCATGATTCTCACCTTCAAACCTGTAGAGACCTTACCAGAGAACACACGCCCAAAGGCAAAAAACCTTCCCTTGTCTGATGCAGGAATCATCTTTGACACGTAGAGCATCAGAGGTCCTTCAGGATCACAGTTCCTGATAGCAGCAGCATAAGGATCATCAAGTGGACCCTCGTACAGGTTCTCAACACGATACTTCTGAGCTTTTGCGGGTGAGGGAAGATGGAACACCATCATTTCCAATAGCGCATCACTAGCTGGAAGCCACGTTTGCATCACACGTTTCATCAAGGGTTTGCCCATCAGATCCTTCTCCTCAGATTTCATGGTCACACCAAGCTTTTGCAGCATCGGCCACAGCTTGTCCTTCTGGTCATTCATGCAGGTGCTGATTATCTGCTTGATGGGCTCATAACAGAACTGAACGAACCCACGCTTGCAAGTGGCAGAACCAGTGTTCTTGGATGTCCACTTCTTGGTGGCCGGATCAAAAAAGTTTTCACCCCACAGCCTTTCCATCATCTTTGACTCGTCAACTCCGAATTTTGAAGCATACATCTTAGCAAAGTTGGTTAGGGTGAAAGCCCAGCCGTGCAAACCAGCTGAAAAGGCAACTGTTCCTTTCTCCGGGTAAACCTGGCAGTCACCCAGCAGAGGATCTTCGTATGTGGCCATGATCACATTAGCATTCTCAATAACCCTCGAAAAGGTCTGGTAAGCCTCCTCTCCATCCACCTGCAGCTCAAGGAAACACCTGTCCATCTTGTTGACGGTCAGAACAGGTCTGATTCTCTCTCCCAGTGCCTGTCGAAGCACCGTTTCGGTCTGCACACACACACCCTCAATGCAGTCCACCACCACCAGCGCTCCATCAGTGATACGAAGAGCGGCTGTGACCTCAGATGAGAAGTCCACGTGCCCAGGAGAATCAATCAGATTTATCAGGTATTCATTCCCATTCCTCTCTCCCTTGTAGGCCTTGAGGGCTTCGTCCGTCATCTCATAGTAGAGGGAGATACCAGTAGACTTAATGGTGATGCCACGCTCAGCTTCATCTGCACGAGTATCAGTCATCCTGACATCTCCTGCCACTTCTTGGGCAATAATACCGGCAGCAGCCACAAGAGAGTCAGTGAGGGTTGATTTTCCTGCAATCAAAGTGCCAGAGATTAAAGAGTTATATAACTAGAAAATTAATGTAATTATAAAGAATAATAAATCAACAATGCTGCATCTAAATTCCAATCAATGGTGGCTTTTACTATGTGTGAAAGAACTGAAGAAATTTTAAATGGATGTTTCCCCAGTGAATACAAAAGGATTTTCAGAGAAATATTGAATGGATGTTTCACCTGTGCATATAAAAGAATTTTCTGTAAAGATGCATGCATAAGGAATGTAAAAGAATGAAACTTGCATAAAAAATGCAACTATATAACGCTCACAGAAAAGAAGGGAAAATAACACAATGGCTGTATGGGTATAGAGAAAGTAAAATCCGTAACAGATAAATCCAGTAGAAATCAGTCCATACCGTGATCCACATGGGCAATAACAGACATATTACGAATATTGTACTTGCGGTCCATAATACGACGAAGCTCTTCGGCTGTGAACTTCACCTGCACATAACAACATAATTTTCATTGTCAGAGATGCATAACTTATGAAACTTGAAGAACTCATAGTTCCAGGAGCAAGGTTCTTTAACTTACCATCTTGACTACTTGTCTTTATTTCCCGCCAAAAAAATGTATGAAGCTACACAAAAAAGGAAAAAAAATAAGAATCGCTATTCATAATCGAGTCAACGATGCGGAATGAAAACACCACCAAGAATACAAAATAAAAAGTGACCAACAATAACCAGATACTGATTACCCTCTTTTATGGGGAACAGAACCGGCCAATGGATCTAAAACGTATACTACAAGACTAAAGCCCAAAAGTGTTTATGCCAAACCAAGATCTATTTATTAAAAATAGTTATCGTAAGTAAGGATCAACAACCATCAGTGAACGAAAATCAGCTCAAGCCAGACCCGTCAAAACAAGGTGCTGGAAAAACATGTCTCGAGCGAGAGAATAACCGAGCAGACCCATTAAAAATCGCATCTAGTTCTCAAG